CATTGCGTTCATCTCAGGAAAGTGGAGGAGAGCTTTTTATGAGAAATCTGCTGTAGAAATTTAGAGTTTTTACATTTTTTTTTTTTAATTTAGTCTTTATACAACCCCCTTCATGGTATCCCTTAGTCTCTCCCATCTAAGAAAGTTGCTTCTTCAGGATCTGAAATGATTTGCCAAAAAAAAAAAGTTTCTACTGATTTTGCCTCCTCTGTCTAATCCCTGCATCTTACTCAGAGACCTCATTCGTTCCTGAGAAAATCCAGGCAACAAGTGATTTCATGCTGGTTTGCAGGAGCCTTTACTGCTAAACATAACCAGAGGTTGGGGTCCAAGTTCCTCAGCATTGGAGGTCTGTCACCCAAGTGGGTGGATAGTTCACAGGAAAGAAAAGAAGGGGCACCTGCTGGGCTGTAAGTGATTATACTGTACTACTCAGATTGTGATCGCTACCCCTGGGCGTTTGATTGATGTGCTGGAGAACCGCTACCTGGTGCTGAGCCGCTGTACCTATGTGGTTCTGGATGAGGCAGATAGGATGATTGACATGGGCTTTGAGCCAGATGTCCAGAAGATCCTGGAGCACATGCCTGTCAGCAACCAGAAGCCAGACACGGATGAGGCTGAGGACCCTGAGAAGATGCTGGCCAACTTTGAGTCGGGAAAACATAAGTACCGCCAAGTAAGGCTGCTTCCCTGGGCTGGGAAAAGTGGGACAGGCCAAGGCGGGTGGATCACTTGAGCTCAGGAGTTTGAGACAGCCTGGGCAACATGGCGAAACTCCATCTCTACAAAAATTACAAAAATTAGCTGGGCATGGTGGTGCGCACCTGTGGTCCCAGCCACTCCAGAGGCTGAGGGGGGAGGACCTCTTAAGCCTGGGAGGCCGAGGTTGCAGTGAGCTGAGGTCGTGTCACTATTCCACTCCAACCTGGGCAACAGAGTGAGGCCCTGTCTCAAAAAAAAAAAAAAAAAGAAAAGTTGTACAAGTTTGCCAAGTTGGGCCTTTCTTGCCTTAGGTGGGCTCAGAGTACATGTTTCTAGAATGAAGTGTGCCTAGTTACGGTCCTCTGACAGTCCTAAGGGTGGAGCCGTTTAGCTTAGCCCTGGAAAAACGATTCCAAAGACTTATGCTGCTACCGGGACCACAGGTGCTAGCAAATGCTCTCAGGCCTTCCTGTCATCATAAGATGGAAAGTACCTTGATGAACGGGTACTGGGGAAGGATGGGAATTCAGAGGACACTATTTTCTAAGGTGGTGGCTATCAAAGCCTATACTGCGGCACATTTTAGATTCTTTAGTCTGGGCTGGGTTGGTGACAGTGGGATATGTAATTATGCCTGCCTGGGTGCAGGGCTGAGCCTCTTGTTTTCGTAGACAGTCATGTTCACGGCCACCATGCCCCCAGCGGTGGAGCGTCTGGCCAGGAGCTATCTTCGGCGACCTGCTGTGGTGTACATTGGCTCCGCAGGCAAGCCCCATGAGCGTGTGGAACAGAAGGTCTTCCTCATGTCAGAGTCAGAAAAGAGGTACGAGGGCACCTGAGCCAGGGGAAACAGGGTGGAGAATGAAATGGCTCTCAGAACTTTTTTCAGTGCAAGTGCAGGGCAGGGCAATTGCTTTGCTGTGTTGAGCTGCTGTTTTCTTGGGCAGAATGTCATGGGCATTGAAGACCCTGAAAGTAGTGTTCACAGATCAGGGTTGGGCATTTCACTTGGAGCGGGAGGTATTATGCATCTCGTCTTTCTCCTCTTCCCTCCAGGAAAAAGCTGCTGGCAATCTTGGAGCAAGGCTTTGACCCACCCATCATTATTTTTGTCAACCAGAAGAAGGGCTGTGACGTATTGGCCAAATCCCTGGAGAAGATGGGGGTATGTCTGGCAGGGGAGAACAAAATCTGGCCTCTGTGGCACTGCTTTCTGAATCTAGCAAGGCCCCCTAGGCTCTTCCTTTCGATTCTCACCCTTTCTTTAACCTGTCCAGCAATCAACAAGTCAGGACCAGGGTAAAGGGTGGTTTGAGGGAATAAAAAGAATGGAGTCAATTGCCGGGACTCCCTGTCTGCTGCAGTAATGCCAGCCAAAGCTGCCTTAGGTCTTCATCCTGGTGAGGTGGAGCCAGGGAAAGGTTTGAGACCCATATCCTGGCAGAGTCTGAGGATCTAGAAAAGAGTAGGTGAAAACTGTGCTTAGATATGTTGAGGAGAGGAGGTGATGGGGTCAGAAGGGAGCTGATAATCAGTGTCCTTTACTCCTGTTACTGGTGCTTGAGGGGAAGGGTGTGTCCCTGCCACTCAGCTCTTCAACTTCCTTAAACTTCTTGATCCCTGCTTTCTACCCTGATCTTGCCCCTAATTCTCTGAGGACTTATCATCTGTCTGGCTCCACAGCTCTCCCAGCTGCTTTGCCTTTGACCTTACTCTGTGTGTCCCTGCCACACCACACTTTTTTCTCTCGTCCATCTCTTCAGCTCCCTTGTTCTCTCCTTCCTTTCACTGCAGTCATTCTTTCTCTTGCCTCCTTCCCTTTCTCCTACCCTGCTGCCCTCTCTAACCCTCCTCTGTGTCTGTCCCATTCCTCTGAACTCCTGTGTCTCTCCTTGATCGCATTGCTCACTCTACCATTCTTCCAACAGTACAATGCTTGCACACTGCATGGTGGAAAAGGCCAGGAGCAGCGAGAGTTTGCATTGTCCAACCTCAAGGCTGGGGCCAAGGATATTTTGGTGGCTACAGATGTAGCTGGTCGTGGTATTGATATCCAAGATGTGTCTATGGTTGTCAACTATGATATGGCCAAAAATATTGAAGGTAAGTTCCAGGGAAAGCAGCTTCAATCCAGGGTGAAGTCAGATTCCTTATGGTGTCCCACTTTTAAGTCAGGGTGCTGTCCATGGGGGGCTGTTACTGCCTTCCTCAGCTCCAAGTCTGGGATTGTTTGCTCCCATGAGAAGCGCTCCTGTCTTTTATCTTACCTGGGTTTGTTGTCCCAGCAGCTGGGATGACACTTGTGTCCTCAAGAGTGTGAAGAATGAAGCTAGGCAGCTGTGGGTCTTAGTGTGGTGGGGACTACAGTCAGTAGGAGGACAGGGGAGATGAGCACCTGGAGAGGGCACTGTGGGCACCTCAGGTTCAGGCAGGACATGCTGTATTCCCGCCTTTGGAGATGGGGTGGGAAGGATGCCTCTAGAAGTGGAGGCATCAGACACGGCTCCCCCGGGCATCTGGGCTGTGCTGAGTGACATTCTTCCCATTCCCCAGATTACATCCACCGCATTGGCCGCACGGGACGAGCAGGCAAGAGTGGGGTGGCCATCACCTTCCTCACAAAAGAGGACTCTGCTGTGTTCTACGAGCTGAAGCAAGCCATCCTGGAAAGCCCAGTGTCTTCCTGTCCCCCCGAACTAGCCAACCACCCAGATGCCCAGCATAAGCCAGGCACCATCCTCACCAAGAAGCGCCGGGAAGAGACCATCTTTGCCTGACACAGCACTCTTCCTGTGGTCTGAGGGCATCTCCGAAGCTGCCTGATGCCTGTTCTTCAGAAACCTCACATCCCTCTTTCCAGGTCCTCACTCCTGGGTTACGGGGGCTTAGGAAAACAGTCAGACTCCCTAGCCCAGACCCTCAGGTCGGGAGGCCTGCATGTGGGGCTGCAAAAGGAGAGGACGATGCTGTCAGAGGCAGGGAGAGGAAATTACCACAGCTTTTTGGCTCAGCTCTGCCCTTCTTTGCTTTGGGATTGCACTGGGCCATCAGCTCATGCCAGGCTATGGGGGCAGCCAGTTGGCATTGCTCCCCAGACTGAACAGAAACCTGGCTGCCTGATGGGACCTCCTTTGGCACAGACCTGACTGTGTAACTGTATAAACTGCAGCAGCATCGTTGCCCTAGATGCCCCAGGGGACCTGGCACCATGAGGATTACAGACAGTGGAATCTTACTGTCATCTGGACAGCTGTTTTCCTGTTTGGATGGTAAAGAAAGTCGAGCGCCTTTAGACCTGTGCACAGTCCCGCACCAAGGGGTGCTGTGTGCTCTAGGCATCCCCTCCCCCAGGGGATTTTCTGAGTAGATGGGGGGACAGGGTGAACTGGCTGTGTCCATCTTTGTCACTGAGTGAAATCTCTGTTTTCTATTCTCTGAGAAGATAAGTTTGTATGTTCTGAGAATAAATACGTGAATACTAAGGCTGTGTCTAGTTCTAGCTTATTTCCCAGCTTCTCCCTGGCAGGGGGGACACCACTGGGTGCGGGGTGGGTTGGCTTGGAAAATGAGAGACAGTCACATTAAGAGCAGAGCAGAGGGTCTCTGCTGATGATCTTGAGTGCATAGGCGGACTTGAGGGGAGATGCAGAAGCCGTGCAGGACTGTAATGCATCTTCCGCCCCTGTAGTAGCCTGGCGGAATGTGTGGCCCTGGCCTGGACACCCGCTAGGAAGCTTTAGGCCAAGGTGAGAAAGGAAAGCAGTTGTGAAATTTTGGCAGGTGAGGCAGTTGGAACCACTCTGCCACTGTGTGCCCAAGGCCTGGTCTCAGCATCTTTGCTTGCGGCTCCCTAGTTGGACCCATTGCTCCTGGGAGGGGATGGTGCAGGACAGGTGGACTCAGCTGTATCAGGCTGTGGTGATAGGAACGCAGGGCCTCCCCCCGTACCCCTCTTGTTCACATGCTCTTCTTACCCCACAGAAAGAGTTGGCCTAGTACACGGAGTTCAAGTTGTAGCTGCTTCTAGGGCCTTTTTGGCCTGGCACAAGGATAGTGTAAAGCCGTGACCAAGTGTCTTCTTCCCCACATCCCAGGACAAGCTCCTTTCATGCTGCTGGATGTCTCCCTCTTGACACCTGGTCATGAGGAGTGGGGATGCCTGGGAGTGGAGTGCCTCCCCAGCTCTGCCTTTGTCCCCTTCCCGCCGGACAGATTCTCTGAGAGAAGGGCGGCCCGAACACATCTTTCCCTCCATCAGACTTGGGCCGCATCACAGACAGAACAGAAGCCTGAGGGACTGTGTATGATGTTTATTAGTGATGACAGTGAGGTGAGGCAGGGGCTTGTGGAGCATGCTCTGTAGGTCACACACTAGAGCCTTAAGGTGAGAGTAGCCAGGGAGACAGGTCCTCTGTGCCCTGTCTCTCCCCATCTAATCCTAACCTAACAAGCGGCAGCTATGAGTCAGGGAACAAAGTCTGGAGCCCGGTTCTCCCAGCATGTATGAGGGACAAGAACAGAAATGACAGGATGCAGGGCAAAAGAATGAGAAAGGCAAGGAGGCCCCCATAAGTTCTCTGCTACACACACCCTCCTTCCCCAAACCCCCATCCAGGTTAGCTCCCGTCTGCCACTTGGCTTCACCATGCTCCTGGCCCCTGGTCCCGTCACATGTTAAGAAGCTTCCTGGCAGAGCGAGGAGAGCCCTTCCCTCCAAGAGGTTCGGCTGTGAGCTCTCTCTGGCCCGAGTGTGGCCAGCCTGCTGCTCCAGTCTTGGATGTGGATGCCCCACCCCAGCAGACGGATAGGTGTGCCACCCCGGGGGGGCTTTGATTGTCTCATTTCTAATATGTGGCAGTGAGGTGACTGGAGGCCCTCGGATGCCAAAGCAGTCCCTTGACTGTCAGGACTTGCACCTGCTCAGGGACCTTGTTTCTTCCTCATGCCATGGTGCCCACACCCCACCTTTTTGTCACTTTGATGGGGCATCCCTTCCCTGAGTCTGGTGGGAAGGCCCCTGCTAAGGGGATCCTGGCTTGAGGGCACTGCCCAGTGGGCAGCTTCCTGTGTGGGAGAAGAGGAAGGTGCCAGGGGTACAGAACACACAGCTAGTACCTGGAATGGGAGCCTAGTAGGGGTCACTGCCCAGGAGGTGAGGGGGCCCCCTGTTTCTCCCAGAACCTTGGGACCACAGGCAGCCCTGAAGCTGGGGCTGAGCAGGGGGTTTTGGGGGCTGAGCCTAATGCCAGCCTAATGCCAGTCTAACGCCACCCTGCCTGGAGTGGGCCCCCCAGCCAGCTGTGCCTGTGCCTGCCAGGGTAGGGCAGCAGGAGGCTGTCAGTAGCTATCCTTGGGCCAAGGCCGGTTGCGCTGCCAGTTCCGGTCATTGTGGTTGTGCTCCGAGTCCTGGGCTAGAAGCCGGTCTTGGGGGTCATGCCCGTTAGCACTAGGCAGCCCCGAGGTGTGTTGGCGGTGAGGCTGGTACAGGTCCTGGTAGGCATCCGCATAGTCCTCCTCCAGGTGGCGGGAGCTACGCTGTGAAGATCCTGTCCAGGCTTGGCGGGAGCTCTCGCTGGCCTCATCGGAGGGCATCAAGCTGTCCCGCTCGAGGGGGGAGTGCTCCTCGCCACGCTCCCCGAGCAGCTGCTGGTTCTGGGGGCCACACAACAGCTCTGAGTGAGGCAGTACAGACCTCACCTTGTCCTCCGGTGAGGTGCGAGATTCTTCCCCCCTCAACTCTCAATTCCCCGGTACAGGAATCAGTGCAAGGAAGAAGTATGCTGGAGCATTTTTCCTCTTCCAAGAGAGAAAACTGAAGCTTCGACTCCCACAAAATTCAGGCTCGGCCTTCAAGGCAGCCTGGGAGAAGATTCGGAGATTGTGTTTCTTTTGACCCCTAGGAAACTAATCTCTGATGTATCCATCTCATTGATTGATTCCCTCTCTCCTCAGGAAGCTCCTTTGCCCGTCTGCACTAGCTCTGCACAGCAGAGCTGAGAGTTCTACAATCCTTTGGCATGCTGAACTGGAGGCCAAGGACAGTCCTCTGAGCAGGGAGGGGCAGGCAGTGCTTTGGCTGGCTTAGCTTGAGCATCTCTGCCCACTGGAAATGGTTACCTGAAGTCCGGGGATGACACTGGGAGGACCCAGAAGTCCAGGGCCAGGGGCTGGGTGGTGCGTAGCCCGCCAGTAAACCTCCAGGTACTCGGCCAGGTGCTCACAGGCATCCTCCAGCTGGTTCTCATCCAGAATCACATCAAATGACTCCTGAGGAGGGGGAGGAAGGTGCAACATTGGTTTCCCCTCAGCAGCAGCCCCCAACCCATCTCTGTCACTGCCGCGGCCCTGGGGGAGTGGGCACAGAAGCAGCTGACCCAGGCACTCACCGGTGGACACTGAACCAGCTTATCGTATGCCATCATCTGTACGGTCAGGTGCTTCATCTGTGACTTCCCCCGGGAGCGAATGAGACGCTGGAGTACCTAAGCGGGGAGGGCAGAGCTAGGCCTAGAGTCTCTCAGGACTCTGGGTAGAGCTAGGCATTTCCTCCACTTGTGGCATCAGTAGCAGGTGAGGATGACTCAGAGTCGTGTTAAGGGCAGCAGGAAAAGGGAACTCAGGTGCCAAGCAGGGACCAAGTAGAGTCGTGCCACATTCTAGTAGGGTAGCCCTGTGGGCCTCCTCCATGACCCCAGCTGACTTACCTTTGGTGAGGACACTTTGACAAAAACGATGATGGGGGCCAGCGAGGTCTTGGCCAGCTGTGCTGGGTGGTTGATGGTGTCAGCGTCCAACACTACTAGCTGCAGGGATTTGGCCAGCTCAAATATGCGCTCGATCTCACTCTGCACTTCCGCTATGGAGGGAGGCAGCAGCAGTGGTCACCAGGAGCTCTGCCCCACTGCTCACTCCAGCAGACTTTGAGGGCTCCCAAATGGTGGACAGGAAGGAATTGGAGAGAAAGGGCATTCATCGAAGCCTGGGCAGGCAGAGGAATGGGAATTGAGGAGGAGGGGTGTGTTCTTGCCAATCCTGGGGGCAGGTAGAGGAGCTGGGCAGAAAGACAAGGAGGCAAGGAAGAGAAAAGGAGGAGGGGCCCGGCATGGTGGCTCATGCCTGCAATCTCAGCATTTTGGGAGGCCAAGGTGGGCCAATTACTTGAGGTCAGGAGTTTGAGATCAGCCTGGCCAAACCCTGTGTCTACTAAAAATGCAAAAATTAGCCAGGCATGGTGGTGGGCACCTGTAGTCCCAGCTACTCAGGAGGCTGAGGTGGGAAGATTGCTTGAACCCAGAAGGTGGAGGTTGCAGTGAGCCGAGATCTCACCACTGCACTCCAGCCTGAGCGACAGAGTGAGACTCCATCTCAAAAAAAAAAAAAAAAAAAAAAAAGAAAGAAAGAAAGAAAAGGGAGGAAGAAGGTTCTCACTGGTGCTTGAGTGGGCACAGAAGCAGGTGGCGGGGACTTCTCACCGATGCTAGAGCGGGCAGAGGAGCGCTCAATGATGGTCCTCTTGCCAGGATTGTTGAGCACAGATCGCTTTGCCAGGGAGAGGTCGGCTGTGACTCGAGTGATGGAGATCCTGGGGTGGGAGTGGAGAATCCCAACTAGCTTCTAAACCTGTGCCTCAGCCTCTCCTTACCCAGCTCCCACTAACTCTTCCCTTAGAGAAGACTTGCTACAGCATCTGGAAGTAGGCCATGAGCTTCTCCTTGGTTCTCAGGCCACCTCAGGCCAGGGCAGCTTACCTGCCATCAAATCTGTGTTTGAGGAAGTCAAAGAGAGCCTTCTGCATCATGTCTGTGACCTGGTGGGAGGGCATGGCACTGATGAAGGGCCCTTTTGGAGAGAGGCAGCCTCCCCATGCATGGCCCCAGAGTCGACGTCCTCCACATACAGACCCTGGAGGGAGGAGATAGACCCCTTCCACTTTCCCTAGGGACTTCCTGTGGCAGGCTTGGTAGAGGTGACTCTTTGGGGTCAAGGACCTTCCCTCACCTCATAACCTTTCAGAGAGGGTCCGACCAACACCACAGGCCGCATGGAGGGCACCACGTCATATGGGGGAACATGTTCCGCCTGCAGAATGGACATGAGGTCAGTAGAAACCATGGCCCTAGTGCCTGTCTCATGCCTGGCTGGTGTCAAGGCAGATCCAGAGGTTCTGGGCTCCCTCCCGTCTCTGTTCTGCCCTCCAACAATGACTGCCTAGAACACTGTCCCCAGAGCCATAAGCCATGATCCCCCCCAGCCCAGGTCCCTTCCTTGACTTACCTGCTTTTGCTTCTGCTTGGCTTTTCGGAAAAGGAAATACAAGATTAAAGTTGGTGAAGGGGGAAAGGTCCCTGGGGGCACGGTATCCCCATCCCCAGGGAGATACTGGCTTCTCCCCACCCCTTCTGATCCCTCCACAAAACCCCTTCCCACACAGTTCACTTGGGCAGAATCCCCCCTTTCCCTGTGTCTTAGCTACCCACCTACCCAAAATGGGTGGGTTGAGGGGAGGCTACCTAGAGATGGTGGAGGGGAGCGTCGGTTGCCAATGTCACTCAGGCTGGAAGGGTTCCCGGATCTCCTGAGAAGAAAGGGAGGCGAGAGAGAGGTAGAGAAGAATGTGTCTTTGTGTACATATGTTCTATGCATTATTTAATAATTGTACACATTTCCATATGCTTTATCTAGTGAGACAGGTGTACACACAATATGTGTGCATTCGTGTGTGTGTTTGTAGATTTGTTTAGTGTGAGTGTGTAGAGCCGGGCATATGTGCATGTGTATTTCAGGGGGATATGCATGTGTGTGGCATGCATGACGATGTGTCCTGTGGGTACAGTTCAAGTGTTTGGGGTGTGTTTACTGAGTCACAGCCCAACTCTCACCTGGCCTTCTGCTCCTGTTTGAGCCGGATGCTCTCCAGGCGCTGGGGGCTGGGGATGAAAGCGATGTCCCCGCCCTCTTTCACTAGCCGCCCGATCCACCAGTCATTGCTGTACTTCTGGGGGTGGGTGGAGCAGGAAGGGTGGTGAGAGGAGCGCCCTGCCCAAGTCCTGGTTCTTCAATGTGAAGAAGCCAGCGAGGCAGTCACTGAGCTGGTCTAAGGAATGCAATGCAAGGGGCGGTGGGCAGAAGGGGCCAGGGGAAAGGGCAGCCAAGTTCGGGCCACCCAGGATTTCTGAGTGAGGCACTGCAGCTGTCATAGGGGACCTCGGAGGCAGCTAATCTAACTGCTCACTTGATGGACATGGAGACTGAGGCCCAAGCCAGGTCTCAGAAGGATGGAGACCCTGGGGATGAGGTCTTAGATATGAGGGGTGGACAGGTGGGTGTTAAGGAGAAGAGCTGATTAGCTTGGGGAATTAGACTGAGGACTGAAGTAAGAAACATTGGGATCTGGGGCAAGAGCAAGAAAATGAAGTGTCAGAGGCTTAGAAGTGTTAGAGCACGGGGGTCGGTCACCTCTTTAATGTGCAGAAAATCTTTGGCCTCAAAGTTGACTCCAGAGCCCTGGACGGGGCACTCCTCATCCAGTACGCCACAGTAGCTGACATTGGTCCTCACCGCAAATGCCACAGGTTTGTGCTGGAGAATTTGGCCATTAGTGCAAGTGAGAGAAGCCTCGGAGCACCCCTTCCAGCTTCAGTGCCCCAACAGCAGAAGGCCGTGGCCTCTGCCCCTCACATGCACCCTCTCACACTCAAGGACATCCTGCCCAAGGAAACCTTGGGACTTAGGACCAAGTGCAGGTTTCCACCTAGTTTGGCCTCCTGTCTTGCCCCATGCCCAGAAAGTATACCTTGGCCCTTTCGAGCTGCTGCTGAGCCTGGCTCTCTACTTCACGCCGGGCACTTTCCCGGTCCTCCTCCAAGGAGACGTCTGAGTCCAGAGATGGGCGGCTGGTGTAGGAGTCAGCTGAACCCTGGGTTGGGAAACAGGCTGTGACTCCCAGGCTCCGGCGTGAAGGACGCTATGGAGGCACCCTCCTCACCTTACAGTGTTGCCTCTATTGCCCCGTTTCTCCATCTCCAAGGGGGTGGCTGGGTCCCTATGGCCCCTCCTATCCCCTGAGAAGGGCCCCGGTGCCTCTGAGGCTACAGGAAACCTGGCCCCATCTATAGGTGCAAAGATCTGGGCCCCTCCTCCCCCAAGCCTATTAATACTACAGCTTTGAATAGAGCCTTCACTTCTCTCTTTCCTCCCTTTTCTCCCCTCTAACATGTCCTCTGAGCTGAGGGAAGGGAGGAGTGCTGAAGATGATGTATTAGAGATGATTCTGGATCCAGGAGACCCAGCCCTCTTGTTCACAGCAGCCTGCAAAGCAGCCTGGACATCATCCCTTTAAGATGCCTGGCAGGAGTCCAGCCAGCAGTAACAGTCAAGAGACGCTGGTTGGCACAGCACCAGTCCTGAGTGTGGGGATCCAGCCATCTGCCCCCTAAGATCCTACTTTCCCTACTCCAACAAGGCTCTGAAGGCTCTCAAATGGTGAGCCCTTCCCCTTCCAGGGTGAAGAGGAGGACACAAAGCTGCCAACTCCTAGAAGTTACCTCCCCTTTGCTCTCCCCACCCCCTACTTTTCTTCCTCCCACACCTGCTGGGGCAACTGGCCAGATATAGGCAGCAAACAAGACACAGACCGAGAAGAACACAAAGCTGTCTCCCTGGACGCAGGTGAGGCTGGGCCATGCCTACCACTTGGCCTACATCTCCCCAGTCCTTTCCCAGGCCCAGGGGACACTGGCCCTAGAAGAAGGCTATGCTAGTGCCAGGCAACTCAGCTATGGAGCAGGACCCTGGGGATGTGGGGAGTGGGTAACATGAGCAAGGAGAGTCTCTGAGTCCTGCCCATAGGAAAGGTCATAGGCAATGAGGGTGCATTTGAGGGTCACAGAGCTCAGCTTCAAGGCCATGAGGGAGAGGCACAAATGAGTAAGGGATGCTGGACTTCGAGACAAGAGCCCAGAGGTTAGGATGTCTGGGTTTCCTCCTCTGCCTACGGAAAGAGTCTTTCGTTTCCTGCCTCAGTATTCCCTCTCTGTGGGGAGAAGCCTCAAGTGATACTTCCCACGATTCTGAGATGCCAGTGGCAGAGAGAAGGGATAAGCCTAAATAAGGGGTTCATGCAGGAGTGTGTGTGTGTATAGGGGAAGGGGCTTTAGAATGTCCTTGGGTGGAGGAATATTCTCTCAAGCTCACTGGGCACGACCACCTACAGAAGGCAGCAGAGGCCAGACTCTCAGAGGAGAAGGCAAAATCACACACCTGCTGTCCACTGTGCCCTCTACCCCCACCCTGCCTTGAGCAAGAGGGCTGTTCAGCTGGGGGTCAGCCCAGGCTCTCGAGTCTTAGGCTAAAGACAGTGTCTATAGTACACCAAAGGCCTGAAGATAGCACAAGGGGGAAGGTTCTTTCGTTTTACAGAAGAGTAGAGTCTGCCCGCTGTTGCTCATCTCTCCTGAGAACAAAATGAGGCTGGATGGCAGCAGGAAAAGTGGGGGTTGAACCCCAGAAATAATCTTGGCACAGGGTGAGGGACCTCCTTCCTAGGGGTCTTAAGACACAAGAGAAACCTCTGTGGGATGTTAGTATCTGAAGCGACCAGACAGGGGCCAATAGGCTGGGAGGCAGAAGGCAAGGCAGATGACCACTCACTTTGGTACAGATACATCGGGTACCTCCCAGAAGCTCAGCACCATGCTAAAAGAGGAGTCTGACCTTTTCTGCCTGCGCTCCAGACTCTCAGCCCAATTTAGTAATCTTTATTTTTATTATTTTATTTATTTACTTAGAGACAGGTCTTGCTCTGTCGCCCAGGCTGGAGTGCAGTGGCACAATCGTGGCTCACTGCAGCCTTGAACTCCTGGGCTCAAGCGATCCTCCTGACTCCTGAGTAGCTAGGACTACAGGCATGCACTACCATGCCTACTAGTTTTTTGTAGAGACAGGATCTTGCTATTTTGCCTAGGCTGGTCTCAAACTCCTGGGCTTAAGCCATCTTCCTACCTTAGCCTCGCAAAGCACTGAGATTATAGGCATGAGTCTCTGTGCCTGGTTTAATTTAGTAATTTTTTTTTTTGAGACGGAGTCTTACTGTGATGCCCAGGCTGGAGTGTAATGGCGTGATGTTGGCTCACTGCAACCTCTGCCTCCAGGGTTCAAGCATTTCTCCTGCCCCAGCCTCCTGAGTGGTTGGGACTACAGGCATGCGCCACCATGCTAGCCTAATTTCTGTATTTTTAGGAGACACGGGCTTTCATCATATTGGCCAGGCTGGTTTCCAACTCCTGACCTCAAGTGATCCGCCCGGCTTGGCCACCCAAAGCGCTGGGATTACAGGCCTGAGCCACCTTGCGGCCTAATTTAGTAGTAATAACGCCTGGGGCATCTGGGGTTACCTGACCTCTCACCCTGGGATGGGAATCACAGGATCTCTCCCTAAATAATTAATGAGTTGTGCTCAGAATGGAAGCCCCTCTCCATTACTTCCAAGTCCTCCAGGCTAACTTATCTCTCGTGCTCCGGTATTACTTCGGGAGGCCAGGGCTGCCCTGCCAGGCATGATCTAGGGTCTTACCTTTCCTGTACCCCGCTACGCCAAAAGAGCCAGAGTGTCAGTACTTTGGAGCTGCCAGGAGTTGGCACAGTGCCCTGGTGGTGCCCCCCTTGCCTAGTGAGTGTGTGGGCAGGCTGCAGCTCCTCTCTTGCCTGGCACGGGGGAAGGAGAGGAGGGAGATGAGCCGTTGGATTTATTTAGAGCCTGATCTCCCTCCTACTGCTTCAGAGGGGGCCTCAGGGAGAGCAAGGAGCCAGGCAAGAGAAAGGGAAGTGGGGGAGGGTGATCAGGAGCCAGAGAGCGATGGGAGGGAGCAATGGGTCAGCAGGCTGTCCTCCAACACCATCCACATGTCAGTCTGTTCCTTGCAATAGCCCTTGCCTTCTCACCAGGGATGGGAAGAACCTCCTAGGGCCCTCCAGCCCCACAGAGAGGTTTGTTCTCAAGCTCACCTTGGCACCCTGGGCTATACCAGCTGTCCCTTCAACTGTCAGAAAGAGGTGTCCACCAGAGCCTTGAAAATGATCTGCTCTAGCAGCAAAGTAATTACCCCAGAGGCCTCATGGAAAATTGGGCCCAGAAGGAGCCCAGTCCCAGAAAAGGACAGTTGCCTATTCTGAGCATCAGCACTCATCTATCCTGGGCCTGGCAGCAAGTGATGGGAGAAGACTGGAACATACTCCTCTTTCCGACCCAGGGGTGCTCCATCCTATTGGGACCCCTTCCAAGCCATCTATTGGTCCACTCCTAAGGAGGCCTTCTTACAGGACATTTGAGGGAAAGTTGGCAGCTCCAAGGGTCTGAGAAGCTGCTCCGCATTCTTGCCCCATCTTTCCAGGCACTCTCCCTGCTGTCTGAGCTCCGGGAATCACTGCTTAATGAGCTGATTTGTCTCAGTGGGTCAGGAGATAAAAGCAAAGAGGAGAATTAAATATTTATTGGTTGCCTGTTTCTCTGAGCAAAGCGCATCCTCTCCATCCCCAGGCCCTCAGCTCCTCTGGCCTCACCTCCAGGCCCTCCATGCTGGGCAAGAGCTCAGGATGCCCGCTGCTCAGAGGAAGCCTCAGCAGGGGGCTGTGGAATGGATGGGGCTCAGTCACCTGGCCTACCCATGTGCTGGGTGCCCAGGTTTCAGCCTGAGAGAGAAACTGGGCTAGAGAAAGGGTGAGGAGATGAGGCAGTGCGCAGAGATGGAGGGGGTAGAAGGGAATAATGGAGCTCCTCAAGTTTTAGGATCCCTCTGTCTAAAGAGGCTGGTCCCTGGCTCCCTGGTGTCCTCTCAGCTCCCTAATGTGTTGTTTGCTTGAGGCACAAGAGGTCCGGAATGTCTGCCTCCCCAACTACCTCGGCGGCTCTCCTAGCTGTTGTGTTCAGACCCCAGAAATCCAGAATTTGGAACTCCAGACATGGCGTGTTCCCTCTCCAGAGCCTCTGTGCCCTCGGCCTCCAACCCTGCCTCCTCCCACCCCTCTTTCCTGGGCCGTGGAGCCACCTGCTTGAGCCCTTCCCCTATACTGCCCCCTCTCTGCACACACCCGATGCCCCAGGGTCTGAGTCTGGGTCGCTGGGGAGCGCTTGGCATGAAAATCCATCTCCCCACGTTTTTAGAGCGCCCCCCTACACACACTGCCCTGCCACTGAGGCGTTTTTCAAAGTCCTGAACTGGGGGAAGGGTTGAAGGGAGAGGAGGTGTCACCCCAACTTCCCCGCCCCCACCCTCACCGTGGGCACTCACCGCCTCCGAGTCCTCAAACCCGGGCACGTAGGAGTCGTCATACATGGGGGAGTCCGGGTGGGGGAAGCGAGCGGCGCCGGGGGCGGGAGCGGCCCGGAGGCAGGGGCGAGGACTGCGGGCCGCGCCCGGGAGATGCCACGGAGCCCCGCAGCCCTGCGGGCGGCGGCGGGGAGCGAGAGAGCGCGAAGGAGGGAGCGAGCCGCGAAGACCAGCTGCTCGGAGCTCAAATCACCGCTCCCCCCACCCCACCCCCCCAAACCCAGCCGGTCCCACCCCGAGCGCGGCTGAGGAATCTGGCGCCCGCTCCTACAACAATAGTGCCCGCCCACCTGACCCCCTCCCTGGGAGAAGGCGGGGGCGGCGAGGGGGCGGCGGCCACCGGGGAGCCCGGGCCAGGCCCGGAGAGGGGAACGGACCCGTGCTGGGTGGAAGGTGGGTCCCCGAGCACCTACGGGGCCTTGGCGGCTGGGAGGAAGGGGAGGAGAGGCTGCGGGCGGGGCGGATCCAGGCAGGGAGGAGGCGGGGCGAGGAGAGATGCGGAGACAGAAACGCTCGGCAACCCAGGAACTACTCCGCCGGGAAACAAAGGGCTGCGGCGGGGGAGGGAGGGGGCGCTGAGACCGCGAGGAAGACGCGACCCAGGCGGAGACTGGAGAGGGCGCAGGTGTCGAGGAAGCCGGAGAGAGAGAGGCAGAGGGAGGACGGAGAGGACAGGAAAATGGGGAGACCCTGGGAGACAGAAGAGGCGCGGGAACAAGCGGCAGACTGGGGAGGGGTCCCAGGCGACAGCAGTGCGGGTCTGGGCCCGTGCGTCCCGGAAGCTCCGAAGCAGACCCCGCAGTAGTCCCGGGGAGGAATGGGCTTAGTGCCCCCAGGCTAATGCCAGGACGGCAACTCCTGCCCCAACAGGTGCCCGGCCCCCTCAGTACGGGAACGCTGCGGCAAAGGCGGTGTTGCCTAGCCCTTGAGAAGGGGGGAACTTTCCGTGAGCTGGATAGGCCTCCCCACACCTGTTGCACAGATAGATTTCGTCTTAGTCCGGCCAGGATGGGGGTTCCGTTCCCCACTTCCCTGCCAAGGATCGTGCCAGACAGTGCCAAGGCATCCGTGGGAACTGGGTCAGAAAGGGGCTGTTTTAGGTGAGCCTAAAGGGAGGGGAGAGAAACCAGAGGGTGGTGGTAGGGGATAGTTGTGGGTGGGATCCTGGCTACACTGGGGTTAGGAGAGGAAAGGGCCAGTCTCCTCAGAGTCACTAGGGTAAGGCCAGATTCTCCCCTCAGCAGAAGGGCTTGTACCACTCTGCACCACTCAGTCTCCTTCACAGGAACACTGAGATTTGAGGTAAGAGAGCCGCAGCCCTTATATTGAGGAAACTTTCCCCAAAGATCCACCCATTTGAGCTCTCTCCTTTTTTCATCTCCTGAGCAAAATTCCTTCTTTGATTTTTGACTGCCTACCTTTGTGCCCCACAAGGAGGACGTCCATAGACAGGGGTACACTTGGAGGCCTCCTGGTGCCCATGCCCTTGGCCCTGAGCTCAGTCCTTTTCCTTTCCCAATTTCTCACACCCGGGAGTTCAGCAATCTGCTCATCCCTCCTAGGCTTGAGGAGAATCAGACATCCAAAACTCTGACATAGCTTAATAAGATCTGTGGTAGAAGGCACTGTGCATGGGAGAGAGAAAGCCCACCCAAACCAAGTGGCTTCCCACCTGGGTCACTTATCGGTGTTATCTTAGCAAGAAAAAGAAGAGGCTTCATCTTCAGACTGACATCTTTAGTCTGTCTACTGTGGGTGGCCCAGAGCAGCCCTGCCCAGCACCTTCCTCATGCTGGGTTTGACAAACAACTTTGTTACAGCCCCTGTGGCTGAAGGGACGTCGCTATTGGGGGAGGCAGTCAGCTTTCACAGTTGCCTCTCCTGAGTCCAGCACCATTTGGGGTTTGGTCATATACTGGATTCGTATTGGAAGTTCCGACACTGCCCACTTTTGTGCCCTCACCCAGTTACTCAGTATTCCTTGTATCCCCCTCTTTCATCCTTTTCAATTCCTTCTGTCTTTCAGGGGCCGAGAGAGGTGTCGGAGAGTAAGACCCTCAAGGTGCTTTTCTCCTGGGAGATGGTTCTAATGAAGAAAGCAGTGGTGGAGGCAGCTGCTTCTCTTCCCATCCCTGCATCCACTCTCTTGGCCTCTCCTTTTGGGACTCTCCCACCCACAGAAGGTCCTGGGGCTGTAGGTAACAGCGGATCTGCCATGGGCAGCACTCCTTCCTCACACTCCTTGTAATCTGCAACAAGGTTGTCTAAGTCTGCTCCTGAGGCATGTGTTGCCATGCCAACCATCCCCAGGAGATGGGTTCAAGTTCCTCATACCTGGCCCTTCCCCTGGGTCCTGCAGGAGCTTCAGAACTTCCCTCCTTCTCCTCATATCTCTGGGTTGCTACCCAATGCCCCTTTCCTTTCTCATCTCACCCACACCTGCCTACTCCAGTTGTAATGCCAACTTGGTGACTTCTTGTCCTGTGACACGACATGTGCCTGTCAGTATCCATGTAGCCCTAACCTCTTTTCTTTTTCATGGCTGGGCATAAAGGGAGAGAGCTGAGGGCAATAAAGGATCAGGGGAGAGGCTCCTCCTGCTGATTCTTTCTAGGAGAGAGTTGTTAGACTGGCAGCTGGCAGGTACCCAAGTCATGGAAGCAAGACATAAGAGGAAAACCCTGAATAATCAGGTTTGGGAGCTGGAGTTCTTGGGAGGTTTCAGAATATATTCTAGCTTCTCCTGTAAGTGCACCAGGAAGCTGGGCAGATCCCTGTCCCTGGGCACTGAATGGGGAAACTGAGGCAGAAGCTAGGCCTTCTGGGAAGACTTAAAGACTCCTCTCCAGCAGTTTTTTTGTTTTTTTTTTTTTTTTGAGACGGAGTCTCGCTGTGTCTCCCAGGCTGGAGTGCAGTGTCGTGATCTCGGCTCACTGCAAGCTCCGCCTCCCGGGTTCACGCCATTCTCCCGCCTCAGCCTCCCAAGTAGCTGAGACTACAGGCGCCCGCCACCACGCCCGGCTAGTTTTTTGTATTTTTAGTAGAGACGGGGTTTCACCACGTTAGCCAGGATAGTCTCGATCTCCTGACCTCGTGATCCACCCGCCTCGGCCTCCCAAAGTGCTGGAATTACAGGCTTGAGCCACCGCGCCCGGCCTCTCCAGCAGTTTTTAAGATCTGGACCAGATAAAGGCCCCTACCATTCTGGCTGCTAGGCTGCCAGGGAACTCGGGGACAGGCACTAGGGGAGCTTGGCAGAGCCCTTCTTGTAATCTAGCCCCTTTTTTCTGGCTTCCCGGTCAGTCCTCTCCTCCCATCCAATCCCAGTACTAGGAAGCTGCCAGCTCTGGCCGCTCCCTCCTCTCTAACCCGGTGCCTCTTCCACCCCTGGTTTCACTTCGTCGGGTTTCCCTCCCTCCCTATCGGTGCAGTCTCACCCAAACGCGTGCCCCCTTCCTAGCTTGGAGCGGAGCTCTCCTCCCATCCAGTGGGGAACCCCCCCTCCCCCGACCCCCTCCCCCAACCACGGTTACCTCGTTCAGCAGGAAGGTTGCACTGGAGTCAGAAAAAGACATAGACCAGGCTAGCGGCCTCTCCTCCTCCCCCGGGCCAGGGGCTCCGAGGCGGGAGCAGAACCCGGCCGCTGCTCTGCACGCTGCTCCCGCCTGCACGCCTGGCCTCGCCCCACGCCCGCCCGGCTCCGCCGCCTGCTCCCTTCCCTCTCTCCTGGTTCCCTCCCTCTTTCTCCTCCCTCCTCCCTCCCTCCCTCTCCCTTCCTTTCTCACCGCCTCTGTCAGTCTCTGGCTCTCCCCGACTTTCAGCCCAGCCTCTCTCGCCACTTCCGTCTCTCCTAAGGTCCCCGTTCTGTTTTTCCGTGTGCCTCCCACTGTCCTTCCATCCCCATGTCGCACCCTCGCTCCTCAGCTTCCCCTGCCCCTCTGCTTCTTCCCTAAAGTCCTCCAGAGAAAGGGTAGGGACTCTGGAGCTTCCGCCGCCGCAAGCAGAAGGGCAGGAACAGCTCCAGGGCTGCCCCAGCACCTGAGCTCTTGGCGGAAGCTTCTGCTCCCTCCCGGCCCTGCTCTGCGCGCTGGGCGCGCATCCCCCGGCGGCGACTGCGACCCAGACCTCGGCGGGGAAAAGGACCGAAAAGCAAGAGTGCTGGTGCTCGGCTCGCCTGCCCAAGCGTCTAGGCGCCCATCTACCCCTCTCTGGCTCGGCCCTGTGTCTCCAGCGGGATCGGCATCCCTGTGGAGACAGCCCAGCTGGGATCGCCCCGCGCCCGCGGAGTCTCTGCTGTCTCTCCTCTCTGTCTCACTCCCGGGTTCTGGTGCCGCGGGTTTCAGCTCCTCGAAGGGGAAGGTCAAGGCGAAGCGACGCGGCTCCCTCTCGACCGGCTGCAGCGCCCTGGGCTCGCTGGCCCGGCGGCTGCACGCGCCCTCCAGGTGGCTGCACCGCCTGGAGTCGGGTCCCGGGGCCGCGGGGTCCGGCCCTGCCAGCAGGCGGCGCTGCTCGGGCCAGAGCAGGGGGGACGCACCCCGGATCCAGACACCGCCCAAGCCCAGGACGAACCCCTCTTCCCCTCCTTTCAACAGGAACTGCAGTCCCATCTCGAGACCCCCAGTAGGAGACCCCAGGCTGCCTTCTACTTATCCCCACCCCGTAGGGCACCTTCGAGACACCCGTGCCCCTCCGGGACCCTAGCCCGTCCCTACCTCCATCCTGGTGTCGAGGGGCTCCCCAACTAAGCCGGGCAGCGTCCTGGCCGGGACTGGGCAGCAGGGAGTACAGAGTCGCGGGACCGCTCCTCGGGTCAGTACCCCTCCCGCCCCTTTCTGCGGGTGCGTCAAACAGGACAAGCCCAAGTTCTGGCGGGGGAAGGGGGAGCGGGGGTGTAGTCCCAGTTGGCTCTCTCTCTGGACCCTTCTGAGCGGACAGACCGCTCATTGGTCCCTTCACATCCCCAACGCCCCCATGCTGGACCCTTTTCCAGACCAAAGACGGCACCTGGGGCGGGGAGAGACGGACCCCCTTCATGGAGACAGACACACGCTAACCCAGGTCCCCAACTTCCCCTCAGCATTAACTAGAACTCTCTCCCCTTTCCAGTGGAGGGCGTCCCACCCTTCTTCCCGGCCCTTCTTTTAACCCACTTCCCCTGGGAGTTCTCGGGACCCCTCCCCTCAATGCTCCCATCCCTGGGATCTCGGGAGATTGTTCCTCTCTGCTCAGCTGACCCTCCACTTGCCCCCATTTCTGAGGGAGCTAAGTTGGGGGAGAGTAAATTCTCTCTCCACTCCCGGCTCCTCCCGAGGCTGGATTTAACCTGGAAAGTGCTTTGGGAAGGCACCTCCTCCCCCATTCCCTCTGTAGTCTAGTCTAGTGGATCACGGAGCCCCTACCACCCACCCATCCCCAAGTTGCTCAGCTTCGACCATTCAGAGGAGAGAAAGAGGCTATGTGTGTGTGTTAAAAATGTGTGTGGAGGTTTTTATGGTTTTGTTTTGTTTTGTTTTGTTTTTTTGACTCTAGTAGAGTGAGCAAACGCTTTGCCTTTCATTTGGCAAGAAGACCTGGAGGGAGAGAGGGCCCTCCCCACCTACACTCCCCTGCTGACCACAGCTAATGGACTAGCTCCTCTGGGCCCTGCGGCAGCTTAAGTTTCCATAGGAGAAGGGAGGTGCGGGGACAGGGGATGTTGGTCCAGGCAAGCAGTTGTCCCTGGCTTCCCGCTCCTTCTCTCCTTCCCTCCCTCCACATTCTCTGCCTGAACCTATAGCCTAGAAAGCATCTCTCCACCTTCCACTTTATTTTTATTTATTTATTTTTGAGATGGAGTCTCACTCTGTCGCCTAGGCTGGAGTGCAGTGACGATCCTTGGCCCACAGCAACCTCTGCCTCCCGGGTTCAAGCGATTCTCCCCCCGAGTAGCTGGGGCTACAGGCGCGCCACCATGCCTGGCTAATTATTGTATTTTTGGTAGAGACGAGGTTTCACCATGTTGGCCAGGCTGGTCTCCAACTCTTTTTTTTTTTTTTTTTTTTTTTTTGAGACGGAGTCTCGCTCTGTCGCCCAGGCTGGAGTGCAGTGGCCGGATCTCAGCTCACTGCAAGCTCCGCCTCCCGGGTTCACGCCATTCTCCTGCCTCAGCCTCCCGAGTAGCTGGGACTACAGGCGTCCGCCACCTCGCCCGGCTAGTTTTTTGTATTTTTTAGTAGAGACGGGGTTTCACCATGTTAGCCAGGATGGTCTCGATCTCCTGACCTCGTGATCCACCCGTCTCGGCCTCCTAAAGTGCTGGGATTACAGGCTTGAGCCACCGCGCCCGGCCTGGTCTCCAACTCTTGACCTCAAGTGATCCGCCGGCCTCAGCCTCCCAAAGTGCTGGGATTACAGGCGTGAGCCACGGTCCCCGGCCCACCTTCCACTTTGAAATAGAAATATCAATTACTTCTCCCTGAGGCTGGCCCCGAGGCTCATGCCTATAATCCCAGCACTTTGGGAGGCCGAGGCGGGCAGATCACTTGAGGCTAGGAGTTCGAGACCAGCCTGGCCAACGTGGTGAAATCCTGTCTCTACAAACAATATAAAAATTAGCCCCCAGGCATGGTGGTGCACGCCTGTGGTCCCAGCTACTTAGGAGGCTGAGGCAGAGAATTGCTTGAACTCAGGAGGCAGGCCTAGACCGTACCACTGCACTCCAGACTCTGGGGGACAGTCTCTGTCTCAAAAAAAAAAAAAAAAAAGAAATTACTCCTCCATGAACCTGTCACAGGAAATCTGAGGTGCACAGGGGCAGTTCCACATCCCTTACTTTTCTTATTTCCACCCCAGCTGCTGGCCACAGGCCCCTTCTCCATCTTGCTCCGCAGGGAAGGTAGGAACTTCAGAGCTGGAGCCAGCAGCCCAGCCTCCAGGTCCCCAGAATTGCCCTCTCCCAGGCCCTTCTCTGTGACGTGACTGGCAGTATTATCCTTCTCCAGGGCCTGCCCAAGACACATATCCTCTTCCTCCCCACTCAAACTCCCTCAGGGCCCCCATCTCTGGCTCAGACCTCATAGTGTCTGGGCAGGGCACCCTGCTGACAGGGGCCTCTACCCTGGATCCATTCCAGGGAGCTATGCCTTCTAGCTTGGCCCGTATAGGCCCTGGGCTCTAGCAAACAGGCCCCCAGGGCTTCCCAGGCAGCCTTCATCCCTTCTCCCTGCTGACCTTGTCCTCAGACCCCCAGATTGTCAGGACTTGGGATATCTGGCAGAGCCCCTGCAAGCCACTCTGGCTAGTCTGTACAGACACAGCTCTGCAGCAGGAGGTAACTGATCTAGAACTGGATTTCAGTCTCCATTTGCCTCCTCAGCAAGGCATAATCTGCACAACTGTGCTTAGTGGCCTTGGTATTTGAAAGTCTGTATACTACAAAGATAGCGATCACCATGTCCATCCCTTTTTATCTTTTCTACCTAGACCAGAAAAAGGTACCTACCCCTTCTCTTCTGAGAAAATCCTGTGGAAGTAGCTTCCACAGGGAATCCCCATTGCCAGTTCCAGATGTAACATCTGGGGGAAGTTCCTCTAACATCAAACCTCAATCCCTCC